CCTTTAGGCCAGTGTTCACCAAAATGCATGCTATGGAAGCATAGTTCTGTTAGATGTTCAGTGAAGAAAAAACTTCTCCAGCCAAATTATGTAAGAAAAGCTCTTTTCTTCAGCTCCTCCTTAAGAGTCACAATAATTATTAACATAGTAGAGGCTAGGACAGTGATGGCGAACCTCTGACACGCGTGTCAGAGGTGACACGCGAACTCATTTTTTTGGTTGATTTTTCTTTGTTAAATGGCATTTAAATATATAAAATAAATATGAAAAGTATAAGTCTTTGTTTTACTATGGTTGCAAATATCAAAAAATTTCTATATGTGACACGGCACCAGAGTTAAGTGAGGGTTTTTCAAAATGCTGACACGCCAAGCTCAAAAGGTTCACCATCACTGGGCTAGGATAAGGATAAGAACTAGTAAAAAGAAGCCTGTTTACCTTTCTTTCCCATTAGCTTTCTGCAATAGATTCCTTTAAAACCGAGCAGGACAGTTATTTCTCAAAAGCACAATGTGAACACTGCAGTAGGTGAGAAAAATTCATGGGCAGGTTCTAAGGTGAGTAATAGGATGGGATTTGCTGACTAATGGGAGGCTGTTTCTCTCTAGAAAGTGATGAGGCCTGGACTAGGGCAGTGGTGATAGTCATGGAAAAGAAGGGGTGGGTTAGGGACTTGGAGATTGCTTGGCTGTAGAGGGGGAAGGAAAAGGAGGCAGGTTTCTGGTATGAGTGACCTGGTGGATTAGGTGCCTTTCATGGTACAGAGGAACCCTGGAGGGTGAGAAGTACGTTTGGAGGGTAAGTAAGGTGATGAGTCTGGCTTTAGATATGGAGGGTCTGAGGCACCTGTGAAATAGGTGAAGCAGTCTGAGTTGGAGACAGATTTGGAGGATGTTAGATTAGAGTGGTTGAGAAAGCCAAGGGGGTGAATGAAGTCTCCTTGGGGGGGGTAGGTAGGGGGAGAGGGAGGAGCTTTGTGGAAGACTGAGTAATTCTCCAATTCAGAAGAAGAGGACGGGCCCATAAGGTAACAGAAACCCAGAGGAGGGCTAAGCCAAAGCCACGCAATAGGATGTTGATGTCAAGGCTATGATATTTCATCATTGCAAGTATTTATATCCATTTCTTACCTATCCCATTGGTGTGTGGCCTCCTGTATCCAGGGAGCCACAGTTATGAAGGGTTTCTCCATTTCAAAAAAAGGGATGTTCAAACCCAGAATGCAGAGCACATCAGTGAATAAAAGGCTCACTGTGTGGACCCTTACCCACCAACCAGATGTGGCCCCAGCTAGTAGGCGTTGAAGAGTAGCAGGCAGGAGTGGTGAAGTTGGCTTGTCTCTGACCAAAGGGTTCTGTCCTTTCCTATTCAGCTGACTTGGAGCTAGATGAGGTGGAGGACTTCCTCGGGGAGCTCATGACCAACGAGTTTGATACAGTTGTGGAGGATGGGAGTCTGCCGCAGGTGAGCATGTCATGGGCACAGCTGCCTCCTTCTTGCCTATAGTTTTTCTTTTCCCCAAGTGTCTATTTTAGGCCAAGACTCTTGGCTCTAACCATTGAGCATTGCACAAGAACTTTTTATGACTCCCTATTGCCTAGTCTTCCAAGGCCTTTCCAAATCCTACCTCTTCTTTTTTAAATAAATTTTTTATTGATTTCAGAGATGGAGAGGGAGAGAGAGAAACATCAATGAGAATCACTGATCGGCTGCCTCCTGCATGCCCCCTACTGGGAATCAAGCGTGCATCCCAGGCATGTGCCCTTGACCAGAATTGAACCTGGGACCCTTCAGTTCACAGGCCGGCACTCTATCCACTGAGCCAAACCAGCTAGGGCTTCTCTTTTCTCTTGAGATGCCATTCCCAGCCAGGTCTGTTCCTCACCCCCATCCCAAGGGCAGGTCAGGCCAGGTACATTTTCACCCCTCCCCTGGTTAACATCACTCCCCTGCTGGGATTGCCTTCCCTTTTACATCTTCCATCTTTCAAACCCAGTTTTAGTGCCTTCCCAGCTAGGAGGCCTTCCTTCAGTGCTTCAGGCCATTACCTGAGCTTTTCATATGTGGTTCCTTCATTAGTGAACTCCTTGGGGGAGGAAAGAGCCCCATTCTCCTCGGGGAAATTCCAAACCCTTCCCCACGCTTGCTGCAAACATGGCCTGTTGTATTGTAGCTTCTCTAGAAAACCCAAGCTGGTTGAATGTTTTCTTGATAGGTGAGCCAGCAGCTGCAGACCATGTTCTACCACTTCCAGAGGGGGGATGGGGCCACTATGAAGGAGTTGGCCTCCCACATCACCCAAAGAAAGCGCAGGGTTAGAGCCACTGCACTTTCGACAGACAGACAGACGGATGATGATAATGCGGACAGCGCGGAGGAGATGGAGGTGAGAGGGGTGCCCTTGGGTGGGGGAGATGTAGATTTTCAAAAAGCTTTTATTATTATTATTATTACTAGAGGCTCGGTGCACAAAAATTTGTGCACTCGGGCGGGGGGGGGGAGTCCCCCAGCCCGGCCTGTGCCCTCTCGCAGTCTGAGACCCCTCGGGAGATAACGACCTGCTGGCTTAGGCCTGCTCCCGGGTGGCAGAGGGCAGGCCCAATCCCTAGGTGCAGCCCCTGGTCGGGCTCAGAGCAGGGCCGATTGGGGAGTTGGGCCGCCGCCCCCCGTCACGCACAGAGCAGGGCTGATCAAGGGGTTGAGGAGCTCCCCCTGTCACTCACAGAGTAGGGCCGATAGGGGAGTTGGGGCACCGCCCCCTGTCACACACACAGCAGGGTGGATCAGGGGGTTGGGGCGCTGCCACTGTCACACTCAGGGCAGGGCCAATGGGGAGGTTATGGCTCTACCCTGTCACACACACAGCAGGGCCCGTGGGTGGGGGGGGATTGGGGTGCCGCACCTTGTCACACACAGAGCAGGGCCGATCAGGGGGGTTTGGTCGCTGCCCCCTGTCACGCTGATCCCGGTGCTGGGAGGCCTCACGGCTCCGCTGATCCCAGTGCTGGGAGGCATATTACCCTTTTACTATATAGGGTAGAGGCCTGGTGCACGGGTGGGGGCCAGCCTGGGTGAGGGGATGATGGCTGTTTGCAGCTGGTCATATACCCTTCAGGGTGGGGGTCCCCACTGGGGTGTCTGGCCAGCCTGGGTGAGGGGCTGAGGGCTGTTTTCAGGCTGATGGGTGACTGAAGCTCCCAACCTGTCCTTTTTTCCTTTTTTTTTCATTCTGGGCCAGCTTTAGCTCTGAGGCTCAGCTCCAGCTATGAGACTTCCACTGCTGAAAGCAGTTTTCTGGCCTTTGTTTACCCTTCTGTATTTGAAACAATGTTGCGGTCCTGCTGGCTGAAGCCCGGGGTTTTGTTTAGCTTCTATTTTTGTAACATAGTTGCTTAGAGTTGCAGCTGAGAGGCCGGCAAGGCAGGCGGGGAAAGTTGGAGTCCTCCGTCACTGAAGCAAGCAAGCCTCATGTTAGTTTCCAGCTGCCTGGCTGCCGGCTGCCATCTTGGCTGGCAGTTAATTTGCATATCTCGCTGATTAGCCAATGGGAAGGGTAGCGGTCGTACACCAATTACCATGTTTCTGTTTTATTAGATAGGATTATTAATGATTTGAGAGGAAGGGTGAGGGAGAGAGAAATAGAAACATCAATGATGAAAGGGAATCATTGATTGGCTGCCTCCTGCACGCCCCACACTGGGTATTGAGCTGCAACCTGGGCGTATGCCCTGACCGAGAATCGAACGGTGATCTCCTGGTCCATAGGTCAGCACCCAATGACTGAGCCATGCTGGCTGGTCAAGATGTAGATATTTTCAATTTTCTGGGAGATCAGCTACTTTTGTAGGGAAATGATGGGGGTGGGGTGGTAGTGGCTGTATTATCCAGAGAGGGCAAGGAACTTTCCTAAGGTCACACAGCCAATCTTTGCAAAGCGGGGAGGAGAGCCTGGGTCTCCCAATGGCCACAACTGGGAGGCGTTGTATTTAGCTCTCTCCTGTGTTTCTCCTGCAGGTCACAGCTACGAATGATGGGGCAGCTACTGGTGGGGTCTGCCCCCAGCCTGAACCCTCTGGTCCAGACCCCCAGACTATTAAGGAAGAAGATATAGTGGAGGATGGTTGGACCATTGTCCGGAGAAAGAAATGAGTGGGGCTGCCAATGGTTTGGGCCCTTGTTTTAAGGATTTTTTTGGAGGATTGTGGATCTTTGGACTGGTTATCCCATCTCCATCCTCTCCCTATTCCCCTGTCTAGCTCCCTCCAGGGGAAGAAGAGCCCTAGGGTCCTTGGCCTTGGGGTGGTAGGACCTGGTTGACCACACCCCCTTGGGCCGTAAGTTATTATCTGAACGGTGAGGCCTGGTTTCCCAGCACAGTGCCTTGGGTGCAGTCAGTGTGAAGAGTAGGATGAGTGGGTGTGGGTGCAGTTGGAGACGCTGAATGCTGGTTGACAGTGGGCAGGTAGATCTATGAAGGGAGAGAGGACCAGCAGAACCAATACTTCTGCTGGGTCAGGAGCGGTGAGATGAACATGGCAGCTGGAAGAGAGAGTCATTGACAATGTGAAAGAAAGTAGCTGCGTTACCTCTCCCACTTTTCTGCTGCCCGTAAACACACACACACACACACACACACACACACACACACACACACACAGCAGCTCAGCCCCATCCTGCAGCCCAGCCTCCAGCCCTGGTTCCTTCAGGAAGTCTAAGACATTGGCAAGGTGGTGAGCTTGGGGGACCTGGGCTTTGTTTTCTGTCTCCTGCAACCTCTTTCCAAACTCTTCATCCAATTCCATCCATGTCCAGGGATGAGGCTTAAAAGACATGAATAAATAACACCTTAACGTTGAACCTGTCACTTGGTCTGTTGTGAGTAGCCTTGATATCATTCTTCGGGGAGCTGAGACACCGAGCTCGGCAAGGGAGCAGGTTCTGGGCCCACCCGAGCAGTCTGGTACTTTGGACAAACACACAGATGGGCGAACAGAGCACAGCAGTGCCCTGAAAGTTTCCATAAGCCTGAAATAAACTGTATTTTTTTTTCTTTAAAAAACAAAACAAAACCGAGAGTATCCATTGTTCTTCCCCCCTGTTCCCCTGTCCTGCCCGGTGGCCCTGCCATGGGTCTGGACGATAAAATACTGGGTAGCCTTGGGATTGGGTAGAAGCTGTAAGCCATGGAGAGGCAGGAAGGATCTGGTCACTGCTCCACCTCGCATCGTACGTGTGAAGACACTGGGTGAGGGGACAGGGGTGGGCCAGGGCCCCAGTGGGTGAACTGGCACTTGAATCCAGGTCTCTCCTGCCTCTGGTGCTTTTAGGGGGATGGGGTAGAGGGCAGAATCTGTGGGGTATTGAGGGGATGGGGAAACGGCCTAGTTCAGGCAGGTCTAGCAACAGCTCCCACCCTCCCTGGGGACGGGGATTAAAAAAAATGAACATCACTGTAGGAATATTTCTTTTAAAAGCCCCCATTTTGTGAAAAGATGAATTAAAAAACCCAAGACCCAGCATTCGGGATTGAAAGTGCCCATGATGGGAGTTCAAGTATTGACTGAGCTGGGAGGGAGGGGGCTGGGGCCCCCAGTCGGACATGGGCAGCTAGAGTGTGGGGCAGGGGGCCCCAAGTCCCCCCAAACCCTCTAGGTCTTGTCTCGGGTCTGGGGGGCTTCAGAGGGTTCAGCGGTGGCTCCTGAAGCTGCCACCTGTGCCTCTTCCATCTCCCTGTCCTCAGACAGTGTGGGCCCCGGGCAGAACGTGTCCCCACGGCCCGCCCGGCCGAGCACAGCCATCCAGCGCCGCTGCAGCTCCTCTGTCTCGGGGCTGAAGTACCAGCTCAGGTGGCTCTGGGTGATCTTGAAGACATGCCGTCTGTCGGGCCGCTCCCCGGCCTCAGGAGGCCCCACCTCAAAGCCAATGAGGGGCAGGCTGCGCTGGGCTTTCACATCCTGGGGAACGGACAGAGCCAGGGTCACCGGAGGCTGCGCTTCTCACTGCTTTTTCATCTGCTAACCCCCCTCTTTTCCTTCCCCTGCTCAAGAACCTTCCAAGGCTCTACTGGTAGCAACAGAAACTTGTCTGGGGCTGGCACGCAGGCTGGGTTCAAATACCCGTTTCCTCCTACACCCCAAACCAGCCGGGCTAGTTTCCTTAGTGTATACCAAGTAATGTCTTCAGGCCTCTGTCTAGGCTGTTGCCCCCATTTACACGTTCTTCCCCATCCAGATTGGATCTACTAGTGCCCCACCTGCACCCTGGCTTTCTCTGGGAAGCTAGCCCCTCCCCCCACCCCCACCCCTCACATTGGCCCACAATCCTTGTTTCTAGCCAGTCTGTCTCACAAGGGTGGGGGTTCTGATTTCTACTTAGGTTCACGCAATCCCCAAGGCCAAGGACTGAAGGGGAAGGGGGGTAGCCTGGCTCTGCCAGGTGGTTGAAGGGACCCGAAGGAGGATGCACACCTGAGGGGCTCCATAGATGTACAGCACCAAGGGCTCATTCTCAGGGACCACAAACCATGCCTTGTGCCAGCCTTTCCCGCCCTTCTCCATGTAGTGCAGGAAGCTGCAGATGACGCTGTTCTCCGCAGCCACTGAGGCCTGCTTCTGTGGCCAGAGACATAGAGGGCATGAGTGTTGATAGAAGGCCTGGCCGGGCTCCTCTGGGCTTCAGTACCCCTCAGCGGAGGTATTGCTGTGCCCATACTTCAGATGAGGACGCTGAAGCTCAGGCGGCAGCAGTGATTTGCCCAATGTCCCCCAGTGAGTCAGACAGGCCATGGCTACTACCTCTAAGAGCTGGTGGGAGAGGCACCTAAATGCCAGTCAGGCGTTCTTCCCTCAGTTCATTTATTCCTCAAGTCCTTTTATGCATTTGTACCTCACCTTTTTATTTTTTCCATCTTTTGTCATATCCATCCCCTACACTCAGCAAGAGGCGACCTGGCATTGTGGTTAAGGGGATGGGGGGTGGGGGGTGGGGTGGGTAAGGCTCAGAATTCCAGCTCTAGATGATGTATTGACTCGGAAGGAAAACAGATAGAGCTATTGTAAGGATTAAATGAATTAATAGATGCAAAGCGCTTAGAATAGTGCCTGGCACAGAGTAAGAGTTCTTTAAATGTTAAATAAAATAAATACCTCGATTTGGCTAAGAAACAAAACCAAAATGTGCACGCGCCTAGAAAGATAGGAAGCATAAGTGTTAGTGATACTCTAGTGGGTAGAAGAAATAGGGTGTTTTTATTACTTGTTTAGATTGTCGAGTTTTCTTCAGTGCACATATCCTACTTTGTAATAAGAAGAGATCATTTGTTAATTAAAAAACATGCAAGTTCTGCCACTCACTGGTTGTGTCACTTGGTTAAGTAACTTCCTTGGGCCTCAGTTTCCTCATTTGTAAAACAGGGATAGTAATAGCATGGATAGATTCATTACTATGAAGATAAATGCCTAAAGCACTGAAATAAAAAGCCAGGTGGTTTTGCCAGGTGGCCGAAAGGACCCAACTGGCTTTCATCCAGTTGCATTCATTTTATGAGCTCCAAGCTTCGGTCACTTGTTCAGTGGATGCACGTGGCACTACAGTTTCAGAGATACCCAGCCTCAATCACTGGGTGGGTGGCTGGGACCCATGTGCTTGGCGTGTGAGGGTCAGTGCTCATAGGCCTGGCTCTTACCTCCAGGATGGACCTCCGGCGCTGGGGTGTATGCTGGCTGCAGGCTGGGCTACTCCCAGGCACCCCGTGCAAGGCCACATAGCAGTCAGTACACACACGGTTGGAGCGATTGTTGTCATAGATGAGGCGGGCCCGGAACTCGGAGCACTTCCCACAAACCACCTGAAGTGGCAAATGGGCAAGAGATGCCTGATTTCCAGAAAGCCTTCCCCTTCAGTGTCCCAACTCCCATGATGGACTCCCGGCCTTTCCTCACCCTGCCCTCTCAGAAGTGGGCCTTCTGGTGGCCAGCCTGGCCCCTCCCTGGCTCTGCCCAGCCTCCCAACACTCACGTGCCCGCAGGCCTTGCAGTGGTGCCTGCGCTTGGTGATGGAATTGAAGGGCTCCTGGCAGCGCATGCACATGGTGACTTCCTTTTCTCGGATGGGTGTTGGTGCACGCTTCCCAAGATCCACGTTCTGGAGAGAGGGCCAGGTCCTGGTTCAGAGGCAGCTACTCCCTAGGCCCAGCCCAGCCAGCCCAGCCCAGCCAGCCCAGCCAACCCTCACCCCTGCCCCAAGGCCTGGATCATCACTGGGAGGCAGCAGACACATTCAGAAGACCTGCCTTTCATAATTTTCGTATTTCACAAAATCCTATCATAGCTGTTAAGCATTTAAAAAAATCCTATCCTTCTTAAAGCTACCTAAGCTGTTTTTTTAAAACACATATAACAACCCTAGCTGGTTTGGCTCAGTGGATAGAGCATTGGCCTGCAGATTGAAGGGTCCTGGGTTCGATTCCAGTCAAGGGTACATGCCTGGGTTGCGGGCTCCATCCCCAGTGGTGGGGTGTGCAGGAGGCAGCCGGCCAGTAATTCTCTGTCATCATTGATGTGTCTAGCTCTCCCTCTCCCTTCCTCTCTGAATCCATAAAAATATATATAAAAAAATAAAAAACAGCCTAGCTGGGTGTGGCTCAGTGGTTTAGCGTCGACCCAGGAAGCAAGAGGTCACCAGTTCAATTCCCAGTCAGGGTATATGCCCAGGTTGCAGGCTCGATCCCCAGTGGGGGGTGTGCAGGAGGCAGCTGATCAATGATTCTGTCTCATCATTGATGTTTCTATCTCTCTCTCCCTCTCCCTTCCTCTCTGAAATCAATAAAAATATATTTAAAAAAACCTAACATAGTATTGTACAATATTCCCATATTCAATGACTAGTCAGTGGTAATAGTTCAGAGTGTTGTGCCGGGAGATATAGAATTAATATTGCTATATAGTTTTGTTAACTCCTGTTTTTCTGCTACTGTATTACATGTTACATGTATGCATGTTAAAGGCATTGCTGAAAAAATAAAAGACCTGCCTTTGAGTCCCGGCTGTATCCTTACCTTATTGTGCTACTGAACACAAGTCATTTCTATTCTCTGGGCCTGCATTTCCCCAGTGATATCTGCGGCCCTACCAACAAGACTGTGCTTCCGGTCTCCCTGGGTAAGGTGGGACTTGGAGGTCCAGTAAAGAGGGAGGGGGTGGGACTCTTACTGGAGAGTTAGGGGGTGTGTCTTCATCTTCCCTGTTTGTTGAGTTCAACAGTTTGAAGGTCTCCAGCGTCTGTTCATGCTTCAGAAGGGTGGAGTTGATGGCCTGGGGAGGAGGTGTAAGAAGTAGGTCAGATCACCTCACAACCCGTCCATTTCCACCCTCACCTCACTTTCCTATGACCTAGCCCGAGGTCAGAAAAGTTGCGTTCTAGGCACAGCTCTGCCCCTTGCTAGTAGTCTCAGTTCTGATATTTGTGAAATGAGGGTGGGGATCAGTGGCTGAAAAACCTCAAAAGGCCTTCCTAGCCACTGTCTGGGCTTAATTACGCTTTTACAGGGCTTAACTCACTGGGCTCACACTCCCAGAGGAGGCAGGTCTCTAAAGGAAGAATTTGTGAGTTTTTACCTCTGGACCTCAGTGAGCTTATCTGTAAAATGGGGCTGGGAAAGTTTGTTGTCCAGGCTCATAGTGGTCAGATGTCAGTTTTAGGGGAGAGTTCACCAACCCCTTGGGAGCCTGTGAATACTCTTCCTGCCCCTACCACAAAGCCTTCTTGGATGTTACCTGGACCCAGTCTTTCTTCTCCTCCTCAGTCCTTGGGGGCAAAAAAAGAAAGATGTTGGGTTAGGCAGGCCAAGCAAAAGCGATCAGAGAGGTAAAGAGCAGATGTTTTAGAGTCAGATAGACCTGGGTTTGACTCTCTACTCCTTCACTTATAACGCATGTGACCTTAGGCACATCCTTTAACCTGTCTGAGCTATTTATCCAGTAATTACTAATACCTTCCAGACTTGGTGCTAGGGACTTGGGCCCCAGAGGGGACCCTACCCTCAAGGAACTAGTGGCCTGCAGGGTGGGGTGGGGTGGGGGGGACAAACAGGGACAATACAAGGGTATTAGTGCAGCGACAGTGAAATCGGGCTGAGGAGTCCAGAAGAGGAGACCAGCCCCGTCTGCAGTTTGGGTGGGGGTTGCTAAGGAAGGCCTTCCCTTAAGGAGGTGCTAAGCTTCAGGTAAAGATTAGGTGTGTGTGACAGTAGGGATATACAAGAAACCATAAATAGTTCCCTCTTGCAGGAATGTCAAGTGTGAGACAGAAGAGCAGTTTCTTTTTCTTCACTTGGAAAATGGAGATGATCATTACTTAACTGGGGTGACATTTACATGCCCAGCACAATCCCTGGTACACTAGATGCTCAATTAGTGTGGATTTCCCCCTCCCTTTGCCTTTCTCCCCTGACTCTCCTGTCTGCCCCGCAGTTTCCCCGGCCTCTGCCCTGGTTGCAGCCCCATCATGTGCTCACTAGGACTCAGCCCAGCTTCTTGGCTGATTTCCTCCTGGTCTCTTCTAATGACCTTCATATGCATACTCCAGACATCAAAAGTGCTCTTCTAACCCTAGCTGGTTTGGCTCAGTGGATAGAGCATCAGCCTGTAGACTGAAGGGTCCCAGGTTACATTCCAGTCAAGGGCACATGCCCGGGTTGCGGGCTTGATCCCCAGTAAGAGGCAGGAGGCAGCCAATCAATGATTTTCTCTCATCATTGATGTTCCTATCTCTCTCTCCCTCTCCTTTCCTCTCTGAAATCAATAAACAAATTTTTTTAAAAGTGCTTTTCTATTATGAAAGTGTGATTATATTTTTAGAACCACTTCATGAAAAATTAAGGATGTGAGCCAATATTTAGCTACAAGTATGTTCACTGCAATGCTGTTTATGCTAGTGAAAAAACTGAAAGTGGCCTAAGTCTCTGACAATAGGGAATCAGGTAAAAAAAGAAAAAGAAAAAAAAAAGTACATCACTACTGAACACCAGCCAGGGCCAGCATTCTATTTTTGTTTAAAAATTATATGTGAGCCCTAGCCAGTGTGGCTCAGTTGGTTGGAAGTTGTCTCATGCACCGAAAAGTTGCCAGTTCAATTCCCAGTCAGGGCACATGCCCAGGTTTCTGGCTTGATCCTCAGTGGGGAACGAGCAGGAGGTAGCCAATCGATGTTTCTCTCTCTTACATCAATGGTTCTCTCTCTCCCTTCTTTTCTTTCTAAACACCAATATAAATACTTAAAAAATATATGTGACACGAGTGTTTACATTTGTCAAAACTCATCAATGCATTTGACCCCCTTAAGGCGTATGCATTTCACTGTTTGAAAATTTTGCCTCAGGAGAAGGAGGATACCTAAAACAAATATTGAACTTTAGTTGATTATATGCCCATGAACGTCTTTAGGGGTGAGGTGTAGCAATGTCTACAAATGACTTTGAAATGCATTTTAAAAATCAGATGGATTGGTAGATGGATAAAAAGATTTGCAGAATCTATACAGTGGGCTTCTAGGTGTTCATTGTACAATTCTTTAAACTTTTCTGTATCTTGGAAATTTTTCATAGTTAAATACGGAAAGAAAACATTGTGTGCTTATATGTGAGTATGCATACACACACACACACACACACACACACACACACACACACGTGCGCGCACACATATGTGAATAGAGGAAAGGCCTCAGAGGGGATCTGCCAACACAGCAGCACTGGTTCACTCTAGGTGGTACAATTCTAGGGAATTTTACTTTATTCTGATTGTACTATTTTTTAAAATTCTACTTTGTTTATATTTTCTAATTTCTTTGCAATAGAAAAGATTGCTTTTGATTTTTAAGAGCCACAATAGTGTTTTTGGCAATGCATGCTGAAGTATTGGGGTGAAGTGCCATGTCTGTAATTTACTTTAAAATGGTTTAGTAAGCCGGTTTGGCTCAGTGGATAGAACATTGGCCCGTGGACTGAAGGGTTCCGGGTTTGATTTCAGTCAAGGGTATGTACCTCGGTTGCAGGCTCCGCCCTTGTCAGGGCGCATGCAGGAGGGAACTAATTGATGTGTTTCTCTCACATCCATGTTTCTCTCTGTCTTTCCCTCTCTTTTCCATCAATGGAAAAATATCCTCAGGTGAGGATTAAAAAAATAAATAAATTAATTAAATGGTTTAGTAAGCCTGGCCAGCATGACTCAGTGGTTGAGTGTCAACCTATTTGATTCCTGGTCAGGGCACATGCCTGGGTTGCAGGCTCAATCCCCAATAGGGGGCGTGCAAGAGGCAGCCTATCAATGATTCTCATCTTTGATGTTTCTATCTCACTCTCCCCCCACTTCCTCTCTGAAATAAGAAAAAAAAAAAGACATTTAAAGAAATGATTCAGTAAAAGATAAATAAAGCAAAATGGCAATAGTTGTTGACTTCTAAGTCAGTGGTTCTAAACCCTTTTGCACACACTACTACACCTGGGGAGCTGTTAAAACTCCCCATGTTCAGGCTACACCCCACACAAATTACATCAGGGTCTCTGGGGGGCAGGGTGCCAAACATCAGGTTTTTTAAAAGCTCCCCAGGTGAGGTTGGCACCAAGGTTGAGATTCGGTTGTCTAAATGGTGCGCATATGGGTGTTTCTTGTATTTTGACTTTTCTCCATATTTGACATTTTTTATTAAAATATATATTTTTAAGGACAGGATTGCAAAGCAAACCCTCCATGCTTTCCTCCCGCCACTAGGAGGAAACCCTGCACTACTCAGCCCGCCCTTCTTCGCCCAGCTTTCCTCAGCAGCCCCCTCTCTCATCACCAGTAGACTATACACCCTGCAGGGCCCCACACCTGCCCCCCCCCCATACCAGTAGGCTTTGTTCTTCTTTTCCTGGCCACAGGCCTCCAGGATGCTTTGTCTCCCAGAGTTTCAAACACCCTCTAGCCCACATTCACCTCTCTCTCTCTCTCTCCTGCCTCTCAGCAGCCCCAGCAATGAGGGTTCTGACTCTCATTTCTCACTTCTTTGCAGTCTGCCAGAAGCAGATCATCTAGCCCAGTGGTCGGCAAACCGTGGCTCGCAAGCCACATGCGACTCTTTGTGGCTCTTCCACAAAATACCACGTGCAGGCACGCACGTACAGTGCGATTGAAACTTCGTGGCCCATGCACAGAAGTCGGTATTTTGTGGAAGAGCCACACTCAAGGGGCCAAAGAGCCACATGTGGCTCGCGAGCCGCAGTTTGCTGGCCACGGATCTAGCCATATGCATCCATTCTCTGGCCTCGACCATGACCTTGGTACCTATCACCTGGGCCCTCAGAAGGCAGCATGAGCTCCAATCCCAACTCTGCTCCTTTCTAGCTGTGGAATCTTGGGCAAGGTGCCTAACTCTTCTGTGCCTCAGTTTTCTCATCTGTAAAATGGGGTAGATGGTAACAGTAGCTTCAAGGACTGTTTTATTTTTTAAAACATATTTTTACTGATTTCAGAGAGGAAAGGAGAGGGAGAGATAGAAACATCAATGATGAGAGAGAATCATTGATTGGCTGCCTCCTGCACCCATGGGAATGGAACCATGACCTCCTGGTTCAGAGGTCAACACTCAACTACTGAGACACACCCGCCAGGCAAGGGGTTGTTTTAAGGACTGATTACACTTAAATTGTTTAAGCTAAAATTAAGTTAAAACAGTGCCTGGCGTAAGAGCAAGTAAGTCTTCATTAAATGTGAGCTACTATTATAACCATCCAAGTAGAGGATAGATAAGAAAGAAGCCTCCTTGTTTAATGGCTGGACATTACTTTTAACTTTATTATTTAAATTTGTTTTCCTGTTTGAAAAATGTCAAAAGTCATGGACAACAGTGTGGGATTGCTGGGGGGAGGGGGGAGTGGAGGGAGGTGGAAGAGGATATGGGGGGGATAAATGGTGATAGATGGAGACTTGACTTGGGGTGGTGAACAAACAACACAGTGTAGAGATGATCTGTTGTGGAATTGTGGACCTGAAACTCCTATCATTTTAACCAGTGTCACCCCAATAAATTCAATAAAAAGGAAGAAAAATTTCATCCTAGCTGGTCTGGCTCAATGTGGATAGAGCATCGGCCTGCAGACTGAAGGGTCCTGGATTTGATTCCAATCAGGGCTCAATCCCCAGTAGGGGCCGTGCAGGAGGCAGCCGATCAATGATTCTCTCTCATCATTGATGTTTCTATCTGTCTCTCCCTCTCCCTTCCTCTCTGAAATCAATAAACATATATTTTAAAAAGAAAATAAAAAAAAATTCAAGCATACTGAAAAACACAGTATAGCACAAGTACATTAAATATCTACCCACTATATGGATGCAAAAATTTAAAATATTTTGCTATATTTGCTTCATTTTTATTGATATATATATATGTGTGTGTGTGTGTGTGTGTGTGTGTGTGTGTGTGTGTAAAAGTGTATATATATGTATGTATTTTTGGTTGATAAGTCATTTAAAAAGAAATTACACATATGATAGAACTCCTCAGCATGCACCATCAGAAAACAAGACCATTCTCTCATCCACTCCCTGAGGAATTTAGCAGTCATTTCCCAAAAGCTCAATTCACATTTACATTTTCCCAATTGTCTTGCAAATATCTTTTAGGGCTGTTTTTCTCACACCAGGGATCAAGCATTGTAGTTGGTATTTCTCTTGAATCTCTGAATCTACAATAAACTCTCTGTATTGTTATTCAAACCCACCAGAAAAAGAAGCATCTTTGGGGAAAGGTGCCCACCTTTTCCCAGGAACATCCCCCCCCCCCCTTGGGAGGTAGCCTGTTGGGCATGGCCCTAGGCAGAGAATGCCTCAGCCTATCTGAAGGGAAGGTACAGGCAAGGGCAGGTACCTGGCCTGGAGCTCCAGGGAGCGCTGCTTTCCTGACACCAGGAAGGTCCGAGGCAGATTGAGGTTGGAGCTTTCCTTTAGCTGAAATGGAGGGAGAAAGCAGCTTTGTGAGGGCTATTGAATCCCTCATCCTTTGCACGCATGCGCACACAGACTTGGGGGGCAAAGTCAGACGCCTCTGTTACAACCTCCCAGCACCAAGGCCCCATTTTCGGTTCCCATTTCCCACGCCCTGGCACTTACCTCCATGCCATCTACATCGATGCGTGCCCGCACGCTAAACTTCTGGCCAAGGAGCCGCAGCCTGGGCACGCAGTAGAGGAGGCGGTCATTGAACTAGGAAGGAAAACATTGGGCTGTAGGTGCGCAGGATCCAGGAGAGCTGTGCCCAGCTCCCTACAATCTTATAGGACTCCCGAAGCTTTATGACTGGGGAGTCAAGGCAACAGATGGAGACAATGGCCTAGACAGGACACAAAGGTCGCAAGGAGCCCTAGCCGGTTTGGCTCGATGGACAGAGCGTCGGCCTGCAGACCAAAGGATCCCGGGTTTGATTCCAGTCAAGGGCATGTACATTGGTTGCAGGATCCTCCCTGGCCCATGCAGGAGGCAACCAATCAATGTATTTCTCTCACATCGATGTTTCTGTCTTTCCCTCTCCCTTCCACTCTCCCTAAAAATCAATGGAAAAATATCCTCAGGTGAGGATTAACAATAAATAGATTAGATAGATAGATAGATAGATTATTGATAGATAGATAGATAGATAGATAGATAGATAGATAGATAGATAGATAAAGGTTGCAAGGAAGAGTCTAGGCATGGGAGTCACTTCCTAGGTGAGTGACCTTGGGCAAGTCACTTCTCTTGGTCTTAGTTATATCATCTGTAAAGTAGACAGAAAACCATCCTAGTGTAGGTAGTGAAAGTGCAATGAGTCAATGGAGGAAAGACTGACTAGCAGGAGGTAGAGTCTTGAGTGAGTACCAGGCCAACATGTATGGAGGGCCTGGCCCACCCGCAACCCCACACCTGGCACTTACTAATATGAGGTATCGGTCTTGAGTGGTCCCATTCTTCGCTGACAGCTTAAGGATGTGGCCTTCTTTGATGAGCTCTTTGGTGGGGCTGACGATGTCTTCCTCACCCCCCAGCAGCTCATATACTTTCAACAGCTTGTGCATTCGCTCCTGGCAAGAGACAGTGAGCAAAAGGCAGGGTTGGGGTGCTGGCCTCCCCACCGATGTCCTCGAGGAGCAAGCCCTCCAGGACAGAGACAGCACAGGCGGGTGGCCAAGGAAGGGCAGGGCGAGAGGCCACTCACCATTTTACGGATGGCAGCGTTAGAGTGCTCCGCGGCGGTGGCTATCAGCTCCAGAGACTCTGTGGGCAGAGTGGGAAGTCAGATGGAGGAAGGCCTAGCAGAGAAGAGGCTCTTGGGAGCTCCTTTGCTTCCTGAATACCTCCTCCTGGCCTCCCTACACCCTCCCCATCCCAGAAAGCACCAGCCTCAAAGATGTCCATAGCAACATCACACAAAATCAGAAACTGTCTCAATGCAGAATCATAATACATGGGATAGCTGGCGGCCTATACAATGCAAGCTTAACAAGATAATTATTACCATTAAAAAGAAGCACAACAGCCTGGCCAGTGTGGCTCAGTGGTTGAGCATTGACCCATGAACCAGGAGGTCTCAGTTCGATTCCCAGTCAGAGCACATGCCTGGGTTTCAGCCTCGATCCCCAGTGGGGAGCTTGCAGGAGGCAGCTGATCAATGATTCTTTCTCATCGATATTTTTCTCTCTCTCTCCCTTCCTCTCTGAAATTAATAAAAATATATTTAAAAAAGAAAATGGGGGAGCTTGGTCTGGGGCAAGTTAGTCTGGGAGTTGAGACAGGTCAGACTTGGAGCTTGGCATAAGTAGCCTAATTTGGGGGACTTGGGCTAGGGAGAAGAGAGTCTGAGTTTCTGTCTGGAGCTCAGTCTGGGTAGCTCAGTCTCAGGGTTCTCTCTGGGGTTCACACTGGGGAACTCTAGGAATCCAGTCTGAGGACTCAGTGGTCTCGGTCTGCGGGATGGATCTTGAGTGTCAGTCTTTTGGGCTCAGTCTGAGGGGCAGTAAATGGAGAGATTCATCCAGGGTGCTGAGTTTGGCAATACCCTTCTATAGAAGGGTGAACAAGGAGACCAGACTGGGAGAAAGCTGGGGAGACTCTGGGGAGCACTTTTGGGGGTGTGACCCTGGGGGTGGGTCTCATACTGGAGGAATCAGAATGAAACACTTCCTAGTGATTCAATGTGGGGAGGCGGCATCTCAGCCTAGAGATCTAAATCTTGGAGGCAGAAAACACCGAGTCCAGTCTGGGAGGCTCCATTCTGGAGAGCTTATGCTTGGGGGCTCAGATCAGACTCGGAGGCTGTTTGGGGAGGTTCATTCTGGGTGGGGGCTGGCCGACAGGGAGTGGAGCTCTAAACGTGGAGGATGGACAATCCGACAAATCTCAGCTCAGCTGTGGAGACCGACCTGCGGGTCAGTCTGGACTCTCAGCCTAGAGCAGTGGTTCTCTACCTTCTGGCCCTTTAAATACAGTTCCTCATGGTGTGACCCAACCATAAAATTATTTCCGTTGCTACTTCATAACTGTCATGTTGCTACTGTTATGAATCGTCATGTAAATATCTGATACGCAGGATGGTCTTAGGCGACCCCTGTGAAAGGGTCGTTCGACCGCCAAAGGGGTCGCGACCCACAGGTTGAGAACCGCTGGCCTAGTGGCTCAGTGCCTCTGGACTTGGACAACTTCCTTTGAGGACAAGTCTAAGGGTCAGCTTTGGGGTCTTGGCCTAGGAAGCAGGTGTCTGCCTTTAGGGGATCATTCTGGGCATGCGCCTCCAACTCTGGCATTCCAGTTGGCAACTTCAGATGTGGGGACTCTTGAATGTTCTGTGTGTGTCCTCAGGCAGAGTCCTCAACCTGGAGGTTCACCCCGGGCCTCACTCCAGAGCTTCCAGGCGGACCTTTCGGCTTGGAGATCCCATTCTGGGATTTCCACTATGTGGCAAAGGAAGGCTGGCTCGTGAATGAAGTCTTGGCAGGGGGCTGGGCCCGGGTGTGTGCACTCACTTTGGGCATCCTTGCTGTCCGGGGAGCCGTGGGGCAGCTTTAGAAGATAGTCCTTGAGAAGCAGCTCGTAGCGGGGGATGCGCTGCACGGGCTCCAGCATGTGGTGCTGAAGCGTCAGGTTGCCACAGGCTTCCTCCTTCTATGATGGGCAGAGGCACAGGGGCTCAGGACCGGCCAGACCCCACACTGGGCCCCCACAGACCTCTCCTCCCACCTGCCCCATCCCTCTTGGCCGCACCTGCACCTCGTGGATGATCACTTTAAACTGGGTGGAGCGCTCTGTCCAGGTGTTGACCAGCTCCACGGCGCGGTCGAAGTTTTTCACATACTCGCCGTACATCTTGAGGAAGGGCGCCAGCTTCTGCAGGATGTCTCCGATGCGTGGGTAGCGGTCCCTGGGATGGAGGCAGGGGGTGACATGGTCCTGTTGATCCTTGTCCCCAGCCCTCCCGCTGCCCCCTACCAGCCTCAGGCAGAGACCCATGGGGTCTCTTGGTCCTGGACATCTACTTCTCAGCCAGTCTGCTCCTTTGTTGTTGTTTTTTAAATATATTTTTTATTGATTTCAGAGAGGAAGGGAGGGGGAGAGAGAGAAACATCAGTGATGAAAGAGAATCATTACTCGCTGCCTCCTGCATGCTGCACACTGGGGATTAATCCCACAACCCGGGCATGTGCCCTGAACGGGAATCAAACCGTGACCTCCTGCGTCATAGGTCGACACTCAACCACTGAGCCACACCAGCCAGGCCAGTCTGCTCCTTTGGAAGTTCTGCTTCTATTATCAGCTAATTAGGCCAAGACACTCAGCTTGATGTGAAACTTTGGCCTGGGCTGCCACCTACCCCAATGCTGCCCTGCTCAACACCAGGAGTGACATGCCCTGGATACCTGCCCTGACCTCACTGCAAGGGCCACTTCATACACTGATCATTATTTTTTTAAAATATATTTTTATTGATTTCAGAGAGGAAGGGAAGAGGGAGAGAGAGATAGAAACATCAATGATGAGAGAGAATCATTGATGAGCTGCCTCCGGAATGCCCCCCACTGGCTGGGAAATACAATGATTATTGATTCTGCACCCAGTCTTGTGCTGGGTGATTCTGGGGATACAAATGAGTCAAATTTAGTGGAGCCCCAAGATGGGAATGGTCTAGTAGGCGAGGCAAAGTGATCAGGCCTGGTAGCACTCCTCAATAGTCTCTATCAGCTAGGGGATACACAGGATGATGCCTGGTTCAGCCTTCAAGGGTCACAGCCAGTTGAGGAAATTGGCTTCAGCCAGCCCTCTCTGGTCCCTGTCTGGTGAGGGGGATATATTTTATCCCGTGGTTGTGGGGAGTGTAGAGATGATTTTAAACAGGAAGTGACATGGTCTGATTATCCTTCAGAAAGACCATTCTGGCAGTTGGTGTAGACTCTAGATCAGTGGTTCTCAACCTTCCTAATGCCGCAACCCTTTAATACAGTTCCTCATGTTGTGGTGACCCCCAATTTCATCGTTACACATTGAACATAATTAAAGCATAGTGATTAATCACAAAAACAATATGTAATTATATATGTGTTTTCCGATGGTCTTAGGCGACCCCTGTGAAAGGGTTGCTCGACCCCCAAAGGGGTCGCGATCCACAGGTTGAGAACCACTGCTCTAGAGCAAGGGTGGGGAAAATCATTTAGGGGTGTGTTAATTAAATGTTTAACCAAATATAGCAGGTGATTTTTTTTGTTTTTTGTTGTTGTTTTTACTCCTCACTTGAGGGTATTTTTCCATTGATTTTTTTTTTTTAAGAGAGAGTAGAAGAGAGAGGGAAAGACAGAGAGAGAAACATCGATGTGAGAGAACACACCAATTGGTTGCCTCCTGCATGTGCCTGACCAGGACCTGGGCCTGGGAAGAACCTGCCATGGAGGCATGTGCTCTTGACCAGAATCGAACCCGGGACCCTTCCGTCTGCAGGCTCCATCTACTGAGCCAAACTGGCTAGGGCGTAGCAGGCTAATTTTTTTGTTGTTGTGGTTAATACTCACCCAAGGATATTTTTTTCCATTGATTTTTAGAAAGAGTGGAAGGGAGGAAGAGAGACAGAGAGAGAGAAACATTGGTGTGAGGGAGACACATTGATTGGTTGTCTCCCGCTCAAGCCCTGACCAGAGCTGGGGACTGAGCCTATAGCAGGCTAATTTTTAAGTTAATTATTTTGTATGGCCACAAATGATGTTATAAATATCCAAATGGCCCTTGGCAGAAAAAAGGTTCCCCACCCCTGGTCTAAAGGATGGATTGGAAGAGGAGAGCCTGGAGGTTGAGAGACTATCACCCCTGCCCTCCTACCTCAGGCCTCACCTCCTCCCTAGACCCTTCCCTAACCCCTCCCTGCTAGGCTTGGTTTGGTCCGTTTGTCTGGATTCCCACAGCCTCCCATTCTGAGCTCTGTCTTAGCACCAGTGAAAAATATCAACAGCTCACATTCATTGAGCAATTCTTACATACCAGGTACTGTTCTCTACATGAATGAGCTAATTTAATCCTTAAAGCATTACAAGTGAGCCTATTCTTACTACTTTTATTCCACAGAGAGGAAACTGAACCACAGTAATTTAAGAAACTTAATGTCACAAACCTATACATGACAGAGCTAGAATATGAACCCAGCCCGTTTGGCTCTTAACCTCATACTCTTAAGGGCTTTGCTACCCTATATAATAAAAGCCTAATATGCTAAGTGTCCAGTCATCCTGTCGGCCATTCAACCAAAGCATAATATGCTAATAATGTGCTAAGGCCACTCAACCGCTCACTATGACATGCACTGACCACCAGGGGGCAGACAGTTGACCGACTGACCAGTCGCTATGATGTGCACTGACCACCAGGCAGTAGACACTCTGACTAGTAGGTTAGCTTGCTGCTGGGGTCTGGCCAATTAGGACTGAGCGAGACGGGCCAGGCACACCCTGGAGCCCTCCCGTGGTCCCTCCCCGGCTGGCCAACCTCCCATGTCCCTCCCTTGCCCCAATCGTGCACTGGTGGAGTCCCTCAGCCTGGCCTGTGCCCTCCTGCAATATGGGACCCCTCAGGGGATGTCAGAGAGCTGGTTTTGGCCTGATCCCACAGACCAGGCCGAGGGACCTCACTGGTGCACGAATTTGTGCACCAGGCCTCTAGTTCTGTTATAATTTTCTGAGTCCTTGACTGTGTTTCCTATTAGTCTGGGAGGACCTAGAAGGCAGAGCTTGGGCCTGATTCTTTCTGTGACAGGTGGTAAGGGCAGAGGGCAGGCAGCAATGAACTTGTGCACACATCTGGCCTGAGTGTCAACAGGCAAGTGGACAGGAGGACAGAAGCCTAGATCTGGGGCCCCTCACCATTCTTCCATGCGCTTCTCTAGCTCAGGCAGCAGGAATTGCTGGTGGAAGCAATAGATGGAGCAGATGTTAGAGAAGATGCCATGGACAACATCGGCCGGGAAGGAACTGCGGTTCCGGGCTTCTTCCAGCAGCCGGGCACAGAACACCTGTGGGGCAGGGCAGAAGGCTCAGCCCAGCTGGGCCTGGGGTTTGGCTAGGGGAGGGGTGGCTTGCAGGTGAGGGCAGTGTTTGTGGGTAGCACTGTGGACCTTTAGGATCAGCATGGTCTTGAGACTGAGGAGAGAGGGAACGGCATTAGATTTCCATGTGGGGTTGGATCAGGTGGTCAAGGTTGGGACCTAGAGGTAGGCACTGGAACAATGAAAAGTCAGAATCAGGGTCAAGGTCAGAATTAGATTCAGGGTCAGAGAGAAGGTTGGAATTAGATCTGTTCATTTCGCAAATATTTTTGAGTGCCTACTGTGTGTCAGGCGGTGAAGAAAGCAGTTAAAAGTCCCTGCCCTTAGTGATTCTAGTGCAGGGGTGGGCAAACTTTTTGACTCGAGGGCCACAATGGGTTCTTAAACTGGGCCGGAGGGCCGGAACAAAAGCATGGATGGAGTGTTTGTGTGAACTCATATAAATTCAAAGTAAACATCATTACATAAAAGGGTACGGTCTTTTTTTTTTAGTTTTATTCATTTCAAACGGGCCGGGCCGGATCTGGCCCGCGGGCCGTAGTTTGCCCACGGCTGTTTTAGTGGATTTGGGGTTAGTGTTAGAATGAGGTTCAAGGTCTGGTTTACAGGCAGGGGTCAATTCAGGATCTGGGTCAGAGTTGCAGTTAGGGCTGGTGTACCCACCCAGGGTTAGGGATGAAGGTTGGTATAAAAATCAAGTTTGGGGTCATAATCAAAGTAGACTTTAGGGACAGGATGGGGGTCAAGGTCAGAGAGGAGCCTTACCACCTCTAGATTCTAGCCCCAATGGAAGGGTTGGGCTCAGGTCCTATCTCTTCCTCCTGGGCATCCACCTACCAGATCCCAGGGCCCCGGGACCCCGAGGGGCTACTCACCTGATCCAGGAGGTGGAGCCTGGAAACGTAGGCCTTCTCGGTCTGCAGGAGCTCATTGGCAATGTGGAACACCTTCTGCTGCACGGTCAACTGGAAAGGAGAAGAAGCAACCTGACCCACAGTCTTGTACTCTAACCTTTACCCAAGCCCCCAGAATTCTCAGAATACCTCAAAGGCTAGTCTAAGTCTAATGCCAGAGATAACCCTACATCCCATTTCTAGACCTTTAAGCCCCCTAGTTTCATCCCTGGCTCTTCAATATATCATAAAAGCCACCCCACACCCGGCTGGCATGGCTCAGTGGTTGCTTGTCGACCTATGAACTAGGAGGTCACGGTTCGATTCCCGGTCAGGGCACATGCCCAGGTTGCAGGCTCAATCCCCAGTAGGGGGCGTGCAGGAGGCAGCCGATCCATGATTCTGTCTCATCATTGATGTTTCTATCTCTCCCTCTCCCTTCCTCTCTGAAACCAATAAAAATATATTTTAAAAAAGCCACCCCACAATCCAGATGCCATGCACTCCTTCACTAGGCCAGTCATTCACACAGCGGTCTGCTCTCTCCATTCATTTACATAGTGCAGTGGTTAGGCCTGTGGGTCAGGAAGTCAGACTTCCCGGGTTCAAATCCTAGCTGTGCCACTCGTTAGCTTACATAAATTGTGTAACTGCTCTGTATTTAAGTGCCGTTATCTACATATACAGCTAATAATAGCGCCTACGTCCATTTGTAATCAAGACAAATGATTTCATATAAGTGAAACAGAGCAGACTGCGGATTAAGTAGTCTATAAATGTTAGTATTTATTCACCCACTCAGTTCACTGTCAGCAAAGGCTTGCTGAGTACCTGGCGTGGGAGGAAAACACAGAAATCTAAAAATGTATAAAACGCATTGCCTGTTGGCCCAGTTTCCTATTCACTGGACATATATTTGGAGAGTCCCTGGCCTCAGCTCCCACATTTGAGCTGGATTCTGGTGGAGCAGGCATCCTGGCCACGACCCAACTTCTGGCTGCATCCTAAGGATGCCTTTGGAAGCAGCTTTAGGCTGCCAGGGCCCAGAAAGAGGTTCCTGTGGCCAAGAGCCCTCGTCCCCAGAGCCTCGGGTACCTGGGGCACTCCAGCCCCTGTGCCCCTCCGGAGGCCAGCTGTGGAGAAGTCCCTCTGAATGTGAGAGGCTTTCCACTTTACAAATAAAGAAACTGAGGCTCGTGTTGGGAGAGCAAAGACTTGCCCAACATCCCATAGCGGTTAAGTCATGGGATTTTTGAGCTAGAACAAGACTCTGAAGGTCCCCAACGAGGATGGCCATCTTCAAGATGGAAAAACTGAGGCACAGCCTAGCCGGCATGGCTCAGTGGTGGAGCATCGACCTATGAACCAGGAGGTCACGGTTCAATTCCCAGTCAGGGCACATGCCCAGGTTTCGGGCTCAATCTCCAGTGTGGGGCGTGCAGGAGGCAGCCGATCCATGATTCTCTCTCATCATTGATGCTTCTCTCTCTCTCCCTCCCCCTTCCTCTCTGAAATCAATAAAAATATTTTTTTAAGAAAGAAAAACTGAGGCCCCACTAAGTGTTTCTCCAATGAGGGCGGAACCATTTTCCAAGTGGGCATTTGGAACTGTGCACGGTCAGGCTGGTAGTCACAGTGGTGATGGGACAGGGTGTTGCTACTCATAGTTAGTACCAGGGGACCAGGGAAGCCCAACATCCAAAGTGGAAACACACTCTTTGGAGAAGTACTGAGCTAGAGAAAGAACCCAGCGAACCAGCCAGGCTCCTGGTTTCTCCAAAGGGTCCTGCCGGTCAGCGAACACAGGTCAGTACCTCCACAGACTCCTGTCTTTCCATCAGGGGCACTGGGATTTCTCTGTCCTTCTCCTCCTCCTCCTCCTCGTCCTCCTCCTCCAGGTCGCTATCCACCTCCTGAGAGCTGGGCCGGTGGGGGTCAGCCAAGGCCGCGGGGACACTGGCCAGGGCAGGGGGCCCGGGGCAGAGGCTGTGGCTGGGGGGCCCGTCATCGCTGACGAAGCAGGTCTCCTCGCTGTTGGACGGTGAGCTGATGCTGTCAATGCCGCTGTCCCGGTTGGGCACCTTCTCGCCATCCCGGGGCCCAGGAGCCAGCAGGAAGAGGCAACGGGAGGCCTCGCCCTCGGGGAGCTGGGGCACCGGAGGCTGCGGGGGTGGCTGTGGCAGCATGGCTGGCTCTGTGGGACCTGGGCTGGGGCCAGGGGCTGGCCTGTCCGAGGCGACAATCACAGGCTCCCTGAGGCGGGTGGTAGACACACATGGAGGCAGGTGTGAGCTTGACTTCGAGGCCTGTCTTACGACTGTCCTGCCTACCCCGGGCCTACCCTCACCCTCACCCTCACCCCCACCCCTAGAGGGTCCCTCAGGCACCACACTCACCTTTCAAATTTCTCGATCAGTGAGGATACGGCTGCGGAACTAGGGCTGGCCTCTGCCCTGGGAGCCAGGCCCTTGGCCACTCGGGGGTCTGCAGGCAGCGGGCGTGATGGTGGAGGGGGGATGGGCTCGGGTGGAGGGGGCATCCGGGGCATCTGCAGGTAGCTGGGCTTTGGGGGGACTGGATGATAGGGGACAAAGAGAGGAGATCCCAATGTGTTGGGTTTGGATGGGGCTGTCACAGCCAGGCCACCAGCCCCTCCACACCCCCTGAGGTAGGCACCGAGCAGGCCCGGAGTGAGATCCCAGTGTGTGCTCATTAGCTCCAAGCCACAGCCTCTGCCCCGAGACCATGGTGCTTCGTGTTCTCCTAACACGCCTCTCCTCTGCCCCTGGCCAGCCTTTCCCTTCCTCCTTCCCCTCTCCTGGGCCATTTCCCTGCCACTCTCTGGAACAACTTACCCTGTGGCTTTGGGCCTGGTGCCCGCTTCAGTGGCGAAGGACGCTGGCTGGGGGTTTCGGTGGGGGGGCCAGGGTCTGAGCGAAGCCGCTGGGGACCTTCTGGATGAGGCTCAATGTTCTGGCCAGGGTCAAGGGACAAACTTTTCACCAGGATCCGGTTTCCCTGGTGCAGCCCTGCAGGAAGGGAGAGACTGGGTGTGAAGCAACTGATGTTACTGCAAAGGGGGCTGGGGCGTAGCACATCTTAGCAGGTGTCTGGGGTGTCAGGTTTCCCTGCGCCCCTCTCTTGGCCACACTGCCATCCTGGGAAGCCCCTATCCCAGCCCTCAGGCAGGGAGCCAGGCCCAGAGCTGGGGCTGGGAGTTTTCACCACTAGAGAAGACCTTTGGCAACAGGATAAGAGTTCTTTGTGATCAATACATCGATCCCTTGCATGCCATTATTTACTTGGGAGTTTACCCAGGTGGGGGTGGGAGCGAGCACCCTATAGTTTGCTTAGTTGTAGGCCTGGTTTATTTGACCAAAGTGGGTACATTGAGCCTAAACCATTCTCTTTTTTTGTTAATCCTCACCCAAGGATATTTTTTCCATTGATTTTTAGAGAGAGTGGAAGGGAGGGGGAGAGACAGAGAGAGAAACATCGATGTGAGAGAGACACATCGATCTGTTGCCTCCCACATGCCCCTGACCAGGGCTGGGGATTGAGTTTGCAACTGAAGTACATGCCCATGACTGGAATTGAACCTGGGACTCTTTGGTCCGCTGAGCCAAACCGGCTAGGGCTGAGTATAAACCATTCTTTTTTTATTTTTTTAAATATATTCTATAGATTTTTTACAGAGAGGAAGGGAGAGTGAGAAACATCAGTGAGAGAGAAACATCGATCAGCTGCCTCCTGCACACCCCCTACTGGGGATGTGCCCGCAACCAAGGTACATGCCCTTGACCAGAATCGAACCTGGGATCCTTCAGTCTGCAGGCCGATGCTGTATCCACTGAGCCAAACCGGTTAGGGCTATAAACCATTCTTAACCCTTTTTCTAAGGATCTAAGGACTTCCTTGCCGACAACTTTATATAGCTAAGTGTCTGGCAAATGATAAGATTGTATTTCATGAGCAAAAGTTTTGCTTCTTAAAATCCCAGATTCTCACTAATCTGCACTACTTTCCTCCACTTACATACACCCACACCTACATCCACACACCCAGCACCCAGAGTTCAGGTCATGTGAACAGCTTTAAGACAGTAACACATTCAGAAAATGGGAGGCCTTTTTGTACTGTCCCTCTTGCCTCGAAGTGGGCTCCCTAAACCCACCTCTGCCTTTGGCCCTGGGCGAGATGATGGTCACACTTGGCAGAGAAGATTTGGTCTGTCTGGTATCAAGGGACCCCCTAGAGATGACATGCCCTCAGGGAAGGAATGTGTGTGTGTGTGTGGGGGGGGGGGGGTCTCAGATGATCCAGAAGTCAGTGGAGGCCGGAGCAGAGAGGGCAAGGCTGGATGGCAGGCTGAGGGGCCGGGTGACCATCCTGTGGGCAGAAGGGTTTGAGGACAAGAGAGCGGCAGTCAAAGAGCTACCACCCAATAGAGCGTTGGCCTGCGGACTTAAGGGTCCCGGGGTCAATTCCAGTTAAGGGCACATGCCCGGGTTGTGGGCTTGCTCCCCAGTGTGGGGTGTGCAGGAGGCAGTGGATAACGATTCTCTCTCATCACTGATGTTTCTATCTCTCTCTCCCTCTCCCTTCCTCTCCGAAACCAATAAAAATATATTTAAAAAAATAAAAAGAGCTACCACCCACACACAGGGTGTCAGCGTGTCTATGCCACAGCCACGTGGCCTCTCACATCCATGGAGGGTCTGTTACCCCGTGTCACACCATCTCAGTCACCAATGGGCCCACCCTGTCGCAGAGACACAGGTGTTATTTACTGTGTCACATGACTGCAGAGCCACATAAATTCAAACGTCCAATCACATGCCATCACGCTCCTGAAAACCCGGTCACATACAGCCACAAAGACCCCGGGTCACAGCGTCACATATGATCACGCAGTCACACTTCGCAAGCCTGCTATTTCACAAACAGCCTTGCACAACAGTTACCCAAACACTCCTCATCATATACCTGCGCATATACTCCTCGAACATGGCTCCACTGAGTCTCGAACATACGCAGTGTCACTCACACCGTGTTTCACAATTGCAGGACCACATGGTAACATGGTGTCCCAAAGACGACAGCCACACAGGGTCAGTATCCCATGTGAGACACAACCTCAGCACAGTCACACACTGCCATGTGCCAAGAAACACAGACACACACATATATCATAACTTACTAGGTCATAGACATGAAACAAGCATGTCCATGATGTCCCTGGCTCTTAGGGGCTCAGCCACACACACACACACACACACACACACACACACACAACACTTGCCTCCTGGTCTAATGGGTCATGTGGCCTGTGCTACAAAAACACAGCTAGACACACACAGAGACAGCCTACAGGGTCACACTGGCATAAAGGAGTCCCAGGGAATTTTAGGTCTCCCGGTCCAGGACCAGCCCAACCCCCAGGGTTCCCGCAGCTTCCCGGAGTCCCTGACACCACCTGGCCACAGTCCAGCTAGAGAGGCCCCAAGGGGACTGAGGCCACGGTGCCCTCCCAGTCCTGAGGGAACGTGGTGCCCCAGGGCCCAGATTGAGCCCCCCACCCCCACCCTGTACCTTGCTTTGGGTGCAGTTTCCTCACTTCCTTTCCCACCTGGGCAGGCAGGGCCCTGGCTGGGAGGGGGGAGGCGCTCCTCTAGCTCAGCTGGGCTGCTCACCCTGCCCTGCTCAGCACATCCTGGCCTGGTCCTGCCCTGCCCTCCCCTCCCCTCCCCCTGGGTGTGGGGTTGAGAAGGATGAATCACCTGGAGGGTGGCACACGCAGAGACACAGTTCGAGAAACACATGGCCAGAGAAAGTGAGAGGCACAGACAGGAGCTGCTATCAGGGCCAGGGATCCAGAGAGTAAAGCCGGGCGCTCTGCCATGCAGAGACCCCGATTGGAGGTACACATGTAGGTGCTGGGGTCCCAGGTGCCCCTTGTCTGCCTCCTCTGGCCTGGAGGACCCGGCCCTGTCTCCACCTCAAAGCAGGCAGGCCTCCCTGGGCAAGGCCCCCCCACCCACTCTGCACAGGGCAGCGGGGCCCTGGCTGGGGGTCCTCTCCCTTTGCTTGTCCTGGGGATAGGGTGACCATACCACCCTCCAAGGCTCTGCTGTGGCCCAGCCTCTCCTTTTTCTCAGCCACTGTGCTGGCAGCCCTGCAGCATGGGAAGCGGAATGAGGGGCAGGGATTTTCAGCCCAGGTTCTAATGAGGAGATGAAGACAGAGAGAGGGGCAATGAGCCATGGTCTGTAGCTCAGTGATTAGAGCATCGCCCCCCACACAGAAGTGTCGTAGGTTTGTGCCCAGCCCCTGTCAGGGTGCGTGCGTGAGACGCAACTAATCGATGTGTCTCTCACATTGATGTTTCTTCCTCTTCTTCACTCCCTCCCTTCTACTCTCTGTACAAATTAATGGAAAAAAATATCCTCCCGTGAGGGTTAACAGGAAAAATAAAAAAGGCCTGGCTGGTGTTCTCAGTGGTTAGAGCATCAGCCCATGCTCCAAAGAGTCTCAGGTTTGATTCCCAGACAAGGGAACTTACCTGGGTTGCAAGTTCTATTGATCCCATCCATGGGTCTCTCTCACATTGGTGTTTCTCTCTCTCTCTCTCCCCGCCCTCCTTCCCTCCCTTCCACTCTCTCTAAAAAAAGTCAATGGAAAAACTAACTAACTAACTAAAAGTCAATAGAAACAATATCCTTGGGTGAGGATTAATCCCCCCCCCACACACACACACACAAAAAGAGGGGCAATGACTTGCCCAAGATCACACAGCAAGTCCATGCAGACTTTTCACAGACTGGACTCCTGCCTTAAGCATGCTCTCTAAGGTGAGGCTGGAGAAGAGGGGAGCCAGGGGGAGAAGGGTGTACCTCGGTGCTTCAGAGACAGGTGAGCTGCAGTGTGGCTAGGGAGAGAGCAACACCCCCAAACCCACCCATGCGGAGATGAACAATGGGGTTCCAGTTCAGGAGCCTCAGCCTGGCCAAGAACCAGGCAAGGCTCCATTGAGGGAAAGGTTGAAGATCCCCCTTCCCCATTTTAGTGCTCCCCTCCCTGTCCCTCTGCCTACATGTCCCTGTCTCCTGTTGTCCCTCAGTGGCTCCTTGGCCCCAGGTCTTGCCACTTACCTGCTCAAAAACCTTCTGTGGCTCCCACGGGGAGAATAGGAACTTCTCAGCTAGGCCTCGGTGGCCCCTCATGACCTGCTGGACTTTCTGGCTTCCCTTGGGTTCATTTAATCCCCTAAATATTTCTGAGCTCTGCTCTGAGCCTGGTGGAGTTGGAACTGGAGGATAAAAAAATCCCATCCCTGCGCTATGGGAGCTCCAGCTGGAGGCCCTCCCCTTCCTAGATACCACAGCCCTGCCCACTGCTCCATCTCCTCCCCACCCAGCTACGTACAGCCTGCATTGCTTTTCTCTGGCTTGTTTTTGTACTTTTTTTCCTTTCTGTCTTAAATTTTATTTTATTTTATTTTATTTTTTAAATTGTTGTTGTTGTGAATCCTCACCCGAGGATATTTTCCCATTGATTTTTAGAGAGTGGAAGGGGAGACACAGAGAGAAACATCCATGTGAAAGAGTCACATGGATTGGTCGCTCTGATTAGGGCCAGGGATCAAGCCTGCAACCCAGGTACTTGCCCTTGACTAGAATCAAACCCAGGACCCTTCAGTCTGCAGGCCCATGCTCTATCCACGGAGCCAAACCGGCTAGCACTGGCCTGTTTTTTTAAATAATCCACAACATTTTCTCCCACACACGTAAGCACATCCACATCTCCACACCTGACTAGGTCCTCCACCAGCACTGGCCCCTCCACCACTGGGCTCGCCCGCTGGAGTCCCCAGTGCCCCCTGAAGCAGAGATCAAAAAGGCCACCCCCACACTAAGTCACACCACTAAACCTCATCGCTCTCTGTGAAAATGCACCCAGCCACTCAGCAGTGTGCACCGTCCTCCAAGACCGAGTAAGAACCTCAGAGCTGTTCACATGTCCGTGTGTG